ATGGGTGAAGCCGGCTCCCGCGATGGGACGATGCCCAGGCCCCCGGGGGAGACCCTTACCTGCCCCTCCCCGCCCTCCTGCCCACCAGGCCTGCCACCTACTTGTCTTTCCAGTGGTGGTGGCCGTAGTGGCCACAGATGTCCTCGATGCCTGTCAGAAGGTGGTCCAGGAACTGAAACGTGCCCAGGGCCAGGTCAAGCCTCACTACTCGGCTCCTCCCGGACCAAGACTCCTGAATGGGCCCCCCACCTTCCACCCAAGCGCTGCTCAGCTCGGCCCAGCCCTGTAGTTCCAGAAGCAGCCAGGAGGTGGCAGCCACACCCCACTCATCCTGAACCCCTGTGGCCCCCTCCAGCCCTCTGCCACTGGGGCCCGGCTGAACCCTCTTCTCTGAACCCACTTGTGCCCAGCACCTGTGACAGGTTCCTGCAGAGGCAGAGACAGCATGACGCCCCCACCTCAGGTTCCTGGCTGCTCACACCGCCCCTCCCTATGGGGTGACCTGGTGACCTCAGGAGGCGGAAGGACAACCCCGGTACTGGATGAGCGAGGAGGGGCTGACTGAGGTCATGGATGCAATGCCTAGCTGACCCCCGGCTCCCTAAGCCTCCTCCTGCAACACAGGGCCCAGGCCCGGCTTCCGGTACCTGTGTGTGGATCTCCTCGTTAATAGATCGCTTCGTTTCTTGCTTTTTCTTCACAGCCAGCAGGTCTACCAGGGGCCGAATGGTCATGCCCTGGGGGGCGGGTGGGTGTCAGGCACTCCAGTTCTGCCACCCTGGCAGGGAGGCCACAGAGGTCCCCCACCCTAAGGTCCCTGAGACTGGGATGCCCTTTGCTCTGACGTCCCCAATCTCCCAACATCCAAGCTGTGCTTATATTAAGCCCACTTCTTCCTGAAGACATAACTAGGGGTTTCACATCCAGCCAAGTGACTCACACACAGGTCATCTAGCCCGGGCCAGAGTTCAAGCGTGAGCTCCACCACAGATGTGTTCTGTCACCCCAGGGAAGTCAGGCCTGCCTAACTGGGAGGACCACCTCTGCTCTGGCCCCCTTGCAGGTTTGTGACCAGAAGGACCTAGTAAGAAGAGCAGTAACTAATCTAACTGCACCCTTGTCAACTGCCAGGGCCAGTGGTGTTTTTACTAGAATTAGCATTTCAATACCTACAATGACCCTAAGAGGTAAGCCCCTTCCTTGACCCCATTGTACAGATGAGGAAACTGAGGCTGAGGGAGGCTGAGTAACTTCCTAAGGTCTCACAGAAGTAGTAAAGCTGGATTCAAACTCAGGCAGGGAGGTCCCTACCTCAATGCTTTCATTAAAAACTGGCTTAGTAAACCATCGGCATATACAACTGCAAAATCAAGGTGATAAAATGTTTTTGAAGATGGAAGCAGGGCAAGATGACCAAAGAGGTAACCTGTTCTCCTTTTAAAAGACAGAAGGCAAGTCCAGCCCCAGGAAGTTTGCTCTATACTGTTTTCTCTGGAGAAGGCAATGATGCTTCCCATTGAGGGCTTGTCCAGCGTTACTATTCAGGAAAGATGGAGGGGGTGGTAGAGAAACACATAGAGCAAACACACAGATGAAGTGTTTCTCACTTGCCCAAAGTCACGGGTCACATAACGAGAAATGATTTACATCATCTCAGGCTGGGCTCCCTCAGGGACTCAAGGGGTGGGTGAGGTTCTCAGCTAAGCCTGGGTTGTTTAAATGCATAGAAATTATGGCCAGGAGGTGGAAGGATTCTTTAGGATCATCCGGTCCAGTCCCTTCACTTCACAGATGGGGATCTGAGAGCCAGAGAGAGGAGGAGAATCTTTCCGGGGTCACACTGATAGCAGAGCTCAGGAGAGCTCTGGCTAATGACTTCCTACTGCGCAGCTCGGGGACCTTTTTGCCTTTCCAATCCCCGTGGTGTGCTACTGTCCCCATTTGACTGATGGAGAAGCTGAGACCCTAAGATATTAAACTGCCTCCCTAACTCCGGGAGTTGGTGATGGACAGGGAGGCCTGGCGGGCTGCGGTTCATGGGGTCGCAGAGAGTCAGACACGACTGAGCGGCTGAACTGAACTAAATCCCTACCATGAGCTTCATGGCCCTGCTGAGTGGACCCGCCCCTGTGAACGCTACCTGGGCTCCTAACTAAGCTGGGCAGCACCACTCCACAAGGATGCGTGATCCAACCCTCCCTTTACAATTGAGCACAGTGAGGCCCAGAAAGGTGGAGAGGCTTGTCCAGGGCTGCACGAGGTACTGGAGGAGCTGGAACTACAACCCATGCTCCCCGCCGCCCCCCCATCCCCTCTCAGTCATGTGCTTCCTCTTTCCTGGCAGAGTCAGGGTCCCCGGGCAGGGCTGCTCCACCCTGTCCAGCACCTGCACAAAGACGGTGAAAAAAATGACGGTGATGATGGCCGTGAGGAACAGGTCACACATAGGGAAGTGCTTCTTGTCCAGGAGGTAGCCCAGGGAGAAGGCGATGGCCCCTCGCAGGCCCCCGTAGGCGATGATGAACTGGTCCTTGGGGGTCAACTTCACGATGCGGAACTTGTTGATAAACCAGGTCAGGCCCAGCACGCCTGCCAGGGAGGGGAAGTGAGGGGTCAGACTGTCCCAGCCCCTCATGGCTTCTGCAGCTGGGAGATTTCTCTGTCTGGAGGAAGCCGCCACTGGTAAACCCACCCAGCTCACTCATATCTCAGGTCCCTCAGTTCAAGGTGCTCTAATCCCTCCATCCAAGAATTGGGTGGATCTTTAAGGGGGTCCTTTAATCTGGGTATACTTTAGGGACATTACAGAGGCCTCCAGGGGCTGGCGGGCAGGAGGGTATCAGGAGAAGAGACGAGACAAGACTGGCTACAAGTTGATACCTATTAAATATGATAGGTACACGGGGCCTATTTTTCTATGTGTTTGAAATTTTCTGTAATAAAAAGTTGTTTAAAAATGCTAGGGCTTCCCTGGTGGTCCAGTGGTTAAGACTTCATGCTTGCACTGCAGAGAACACAAGTTCAATTCTTGGTTGAGGAACTAAGATCACACGTGCAGCATGGCCAGAAAAAAAAAATTGCAGAGGGAGGTTGGAGTCCAATCTCAACCCCATAGCCCCAGAATCTCCAGAGGATGAGGCCCAGGATGAAAGGGTTTTTAAGATAGCGCAAGTTAAGTGCCACGCCCGGACCTAATCTCAGAGAGGAGGTGAGATCCACCGGTGGTAGCCACACTGTCACCGAGGTAATGTGTATCTGGAAGGTGAAGCAGTTGCCCAAGGGCCTGAGGCCTGGTGCCCAGGGGTGGCCTGGTGCACCCTGGGGCTGGCAGCCCCAGTTGGGAGGCGCTGCAGAAGACTCGGCAAGTGCCAAAGTCACACGTGGGAAGAGGCTGTGCAAAGACCACAGGGCTGAACACAGATCTGGCTCTGGGGGCCTCAGTCTCCTCCTCAGATACCGAGTGGCTCAGAGTCCCAGGGCTGCTGAGGCCTCTTCCACCCGCACACCTTGGCTGTCTCCCCTCTGGGAGCACAGCCCTCTGTCCTCTCCAGGGCCCATCAGGGTCTTGGTGCTGCAGGGAGCTGAGTGGGGAAGCCCCCTGTCCCAAGCGGGGTCGGGAGCAGCCCGGAGCCAAGCCTGCCACCTCCACACACAGCATGCACCCAGCTGCCACGTGCACACACACCCCTCCCTGGGCCCACGGCTCACCCAGCACTCGAGCGATGAGGCAGAAGAGCAGGGTGCTGATGACAAAGGTCCAATTCCAGTGGTGGGAGCCGGCCACAGTGGAGACACCCAGGAAGATGAAGATGAGGGTTTCGCTGACGCTGCTCCACATTTTGAGGAAATACTTGATGGTCGTGTGGGACTTGTGGGAGATGTTGGCCTCCACGTAGGGGCGCATCACCACGCCCGAGGCAATGAGTCTGGGGGTTAAGGGAGGAAAGAGTGGGGAGCGGGGTTCAGAGTCGAGCCGCACCCTCCCAGGGAGCCTCCAGCGCCAGGGAGGTGGGCAGGGGACGGGCGCCTGAGCTCCTCTCATGGGTCAGACACCCCTGCCGGCTTCCAACCCCTGTTCTCAATCCTCTCAGCCAACCCTGCAGATGCAGGCATATTCTGGCATTTTCCAGATGAGAGATCTGATCCATGCAGAAATAGTCACCTGCCCACGGTCACACTGCCAGGGAGTGGGAGAGCTAAGACACGAACATAAAAAGTTCTGCCCGGCTCCTAAGCCTGGGCCTTCTCCCCGAGGCCACACGGCCTCTCCACCTCACAGGGGTCAGGTCTCTGGCCATAGGTTTATCCTCCAGAGTGTGGTATCCCCTTAACACCTGGGGTCCCCACAGGGAGCTGTCTTCTGAGCGGCAGCCCAGGCCCTTCCCAGCCTGGTGCCCACACTCGGGCTCCACTCCTGCTGGCCCAGCCTCCTCATTGTCTGCCCCCATCCCGGTCCCCCAATCCAGCCTTGGCACTTCCAGTGACCTCCCCTAGTGGGAGCACCTTGACACAGCTTCCCCCCCATCCCACCAACCCCGACTGCAAGATGCAGCTGGGGTCTCAGGACCCCCACAGCAATGGAAGCCCCGAGCCCCCTCGCTAGAGCTGCTGAGAGGAGCAGTGGGCCCTAGTGCCTGCATCCGGCAACAGCCAAGGGGCTTCCTTTGTAACAAAAGAATAGAACAGCTGGGCTGAAGCCTTCCAGAACCTTAAACTCCATGCTTCCAGGCAGCCCCGAGACCTGAAGCCTGGATCCAGGGGACTGGGCCCTGGGGAGCTCCCTTTGACCCTTCAAGCCCTGGGGATCTGAGTTGGCAGCACCCCCCCCCACGCCATGCCCAGACTCACGCCATGATGCCCGACAGGTGGAAGAGCTCGGCCGACAGGTAGGCCATGTAGCTGTAGAGGAAGACGAAGAGCGGCTCGATGACGCGGATGTGGGAGGTGAAGCGGGAGGTGAAGGCTGCGATGACCCCGTAGACCACGCCCACGAACACCCCGCCCAGGGACACCACGAAGAAGCTCAGGAAGCCGAGGATGATGTCCACGATGCCCACGCGGTCGTAGTTGGCAAACTCCTCAAAGAGGTGATACAGGACCTGCGAAGGGTGTGCAGGCTGGTCGGCAGGAGTGTGGGCACCCTGCCCCGTGGCTCCCGGGGTTCACCCGGGGTGGGGCCCTGCCCTGTGGCTCCCGGGGTTCACCCGGGGTGGGGCCCTGCCCCGTGGCTCCCGGGGTTCACCCGGGGCGATTCTGTCCCCTCTGCTGACCACGGCAGAGGTGGCAGAGGGGTCGGGGGCCAGGGGTCTTTGGGCCTGCAGCGGGCTGTGCAGAAAAAGAGCCCAGCTTTATAGCCAAACCACCCGGGTTGAAATTCTGACTCTGCCGCTCCCCAGCTGTACACATGGAGCAAATGACTCAATCGCCCTGGGCTTCAGTTTTCCTGTCCAGAAAATGGGGGCAATAGTACCGACCTCACAGGGCTACTGTGAGATTCAATTAGTTAATGAAGGCAAGTTGCCTATCACAGCATTAGCTGCTATTCACCAAGCTCATTATGCACATCCCTGACTGGATTTTGGTCCTTCCTTTAGCACAAAGCTGGGAAAATTCAGATAATGAACTAGAACAGGACTTCTTAACTCCTTAAGCTTTCTAAAAATACAGTCGGCCAGCCCATACTCTACTTGGATTGTCTGGAGGTGGGACCCAGAAATCTCTGTTCAACAAGGCCCCAGAGGGCTGCAATGAACCACCAAGTTCAGGCGCCATGGACCCAGAGGCTCTCCACGGCTTCCCCACCTCTGGGCCGGGGAAATAAACGGTCATTGTAACACCACCATCAGGCTTTAAGTGGCACTTCATACACTGTAAAGCCCTTTGATTATGGTCATCCTGTTTGCCACACAACAGCCCCATGAGGTAGGCAGGCTAACGATGCTTGTTCCCTTGCTAAACTAAGGCTCAGAGTGGTAAAGTGACATGCCAGAGGGCCCCCCCAATCCCTGCCCGGGAGCAACAGAACTGGGCCCAGAGCTTGGTCCCTGCCAGCAGTGGATGGGCCTCCCAGGGGATCCAGCTCTGAGGTTCTATCTACCTCCTCTTTGGTGCTGGCTGCCTGGCCTGCTCCTAGACAGCTCTGCCCAGAAATCAGCTGGGGAGTGTCCAGGCTGAAGGACAGCAGAGGGAGTGGGGAAGAAGAGCTTGGGGACCCCAAAACAGACCCTCCAAAGCCCCCAGTACCTGGGCCACATGTGGAAGCAGGGCACCTTTGCTCCAGGGTCAAGGCCTGAGGCCACACAGCTTGGGGCAGCCTTCAGCCCTACTGTCTGGGTAATGGGGCATTCACACCCATGCCCAGAGCTCTAGAAAGAGCCCAACTTGGGCAAGGCAGGGAGGGGAGATGTCAAGCACTGGCCAGTACCCCATGCGCCTGGACACAGCCGTCTGGGAGACAGGGCAGGGCTCTGGCAGTGCGTTATCAGCCCTGGGCTACCTAAACCTACTCCTGGCCTGAGGAAATGCTCAGGTCCCTAAAGTGCACTGCCTGGGCCAATGGGGCAGGTACAGAGGGCAAGGTCCTCATTTCTGGCCTGGCATTGTCACTGGGACTACAGAGACAGAGTAGCATAGTGCTAAGCATCTGGACTCGGGACTCAAGACTGTGTAGATCTGAACCCCAGTTACATCATTTACCAGCTACTATGATCGTGGATGAGTTCCTTAATCTCCCACTGTCTCAGTTCCCTCACCTGAAAAACTGGGAAAAATCACCGTGCTAACCTCATGGAGTCTGTGCAGATTCGATGAGACAATACATGATCAGACAGGAAGCACGCAGTGAACACCAGCAATGACCACCACCACTGCCCCTGTCTCGGGGAGGCATGGCCACGGGCCCACGGTGGCCAGAATGGGGCATCCACTCTTGCAGCCACGCCCCACTGTTCCCCAAGAGTGCCAACCTGAACCCCAACATACACCCAGATCCTCTGGGGCGGGCTTCATCTCTGGCACCCACTGCTTTTGCAGATACGAGCGAGTGTGACTCCCGTCAGAGCCCCGGGAGGATGGCAGGCTCAGGACGACGGTCCCTGCTCCAGATGGGGAAACAGACCGACGTGGCAGCCATGGGCAAGGGCGGGTGCCCGAGGAGCCAGGACAGATGAGCCAGTCCGTGGCTCCCCCAGCTTCACAAGGAGCTGACGGGGGCGCCAGGGGAAGAAGAGGGAGAGGAAGCTGAGGCTGCCGGCAGGCAACCACCGCTGTCGGCAGCTTCTTTGGGGTGTGGCTTCCTGAGCGGCTGGGAGTGAGGTGGGAGTGCGTGTGCGAGCGTGCACAGGGCGTGCACATGGGTCCATGAGTTTTCCTGTGTGGGCAGCTGCTCTCTGAGGGCTTCAGCCAGGAGGGGGATGTAGGTGTTTGCACAACACGAGTGTGCACATACACGTATCTGCTTCCTGAGGAAGCCGGCTGGGAGGAAGGGTATGTGCAAACATACACAGCCTTGCCACATGCAGACCCTGCGGTGGGGGTGTCTGTCCTCACTAGACCTGGGAAGAACGCACTAACTACTCTGCCACATCCCAGCTGTCAAAGATGAAGCCCAGAGAGGTACACTCACATGCCTAAGGTCACACAGTAGGCAAGTGGCCAACCCAGACTGACCCACTTTACTTGCCACCTTCTGGAGGTTTTAGAGACAAGGTTCCTTTCCATGAATGCTGCCCCCAAACTCTGTACAAATTAAATGCTAACTTAAGACACGTGTCTCTGTGTGTGTGTGTGTGTGTGTGTGTGTGCGTGCATGCATGCTCAGTCATGTCCAACTCTTTGGCTATAGCCTACCAGGCTTCTCTGTCCATGGGATTTCCTAGGCAAGAATACTGGTGTGGGTTCCTCCCCCGGGGGATCCTCCCAACCCAGGGGTCGAACCTACATCTCCTGCATTGGCAAGTGGATTCTTTACCACTGAGCCACCTGGGAAGCCCTAGCTTAAGACACAGCTACCATGAAAGCTAAAATGCCCCTCAGAGACTAACTGGTCTATAAAGGGTAAACTGAGGTACAAAGAGGATAAGTCATTTAATCAAGATCACATCACAGTGCATCAGGGACAGAGCACACGACCTGGTCAGGCCAAGAGCTCAGGCCCTGCAGTCAGACAGACCTGGCTTCCAATTTCAGTCCTACCTATTTTACTGAGTTATTTAACCTCTTTAAGCTTGACTCCTCCTCTGCAAAGTGAGACTAAGAAGCACCTCTTAACGTAGTCAGGAGGATAACTGAGATAATCCCTGCTTGTGCCCAGCACGATGGCCGCACATAGCAGGCAGGACTGGATACTTGCTGTCTTACTATCATGAGCGGGGGGATGTGGGATTCACTCTGCACCTGGACTTGGGTCTGGGTCTTGCGCGCCCCGGGGCATGGTCCCTGCCTCTCACCACAGTGACGGCGTCGTTGAGCAGGGACTCCCCAAACACAAGGATGTGGAGCAGCTCGTTGATGTGAATCTCCTCGAAGACAGCCAGCACGGCCACGGGGTCCACGGCCGAGATGATGCTGCCAAACAGCAGGTTCTCCAGGAGGCCGATGTTGTTGATCTGCTCACCGCCCACCAGGCACACGGCGTACATGAGGCCGCCCAGGAAGAAGGCGTTCCACAGCGTGCCCACCACGGCGAAGATCAGGATGGTGCCCAGGTTCTCCGTGAACTGCCGAAGCGGCAGGAAGTAGCCGGCATCCAGGATGATGGGCGGCAGCAGGAAGAGGAAGAAGACTTCTGACTGCAGGATGGGGGGCGTCTCGCCCACGCCCTTGATCAGACCCCCCACCAGCAGCCCCACCACAATCAGCAGGCAGCTCTCTGGGACAATGCTCGAGATGGTGGGGATCACGTGGAAACCTGCAGAGGGTGAGATAACGGAAGTCCGTGGACTTGAGGGGAGCCAGGAGAACAGAAGGCTAGGGCTGGGGCTGAAGGCTAGAGGTAGGACGAAGAGGGGCTCAGGCTTGGTCTCAAGGGGCCGCTCTGTTAACTCTCTGAGCCTCAGCCTCCTTGCCTAGAGCTGATAATACCAGCCTCACAGGTTAACATAATGCACTTATGGATTATGTTTATACATAACTAAGTGATGTATAAACTACATGATGATGTTGTTGAAGTGCTTTTTTCAAAGGATATACAGATGCTCTCTGTCACTGTCATAAAGTAGGAGAAAGAAGCAGGTCTATATGCCTCCAGAAAGCAGAAATTATACACTGATTACCGAGGCTCCAAGTACCACCCAGTTCCCTGACTGCCCCATCTGCCCAGGTTAGGGTAGGGGTCCTTCTCTGGTGCCTTCCCCTCTCACAACTTCAATCTGCAATCCTGAGGGCATCACTTAACACCTGAACCCAAGTCATCAGTCCGGGCACAAGTTCAGGGAGACAATGTAAGCTCAAGACCAGGCCTAACAATCGAAGAATTCTGTCTAAGGGAAGACATCAAGATCCCCATCACGGAGGCGTTGAAGCAAAAGGCAGACAATGGTTGGTGAGATGACACAGGAGACAGGAAGGAGCATAGAGGAATCAAAGGCTATCGGCGCAGGAAGGAACCTGGGGATCATGCTGCCTGGGCCAGCAAACGTGCAGCACGCACGCAGCGACTTCCAATCCCAGCTTTGCGTGCTTTCCTGCTGAGCCCAGAGAGACGCTCAGGAAGCCGGCAGCAATCAACGGGTTCTGCGCATGAGACAAAACCTGTTTGCCATCCTGTTTCTCACCCAATTCCATCCATTTTAAAAAAGGGGCAACTGAGGCTCAGGGAGGGGAAGGGACTTACCCAAGGTCACACATCATCAGTAGTAGAACCAGGACAGAACCCAGGTCTGACCCCACCGGCTCCTATCAAACTCCCCCGTTCTTTAGATCAGCCCCTCCTTTCTCCCCATTAAGGTGAAAATGCCCCTCTGCCTGAGACCCACCAGCCATCTCCCCAAGCCAGGTCCTAGCCGGCAACAGCGGCAGGCCACCCTCTGTAGCCAGCCCACTTGGTTACAAACCCTGAGCTGGGAAGCAGCAAAAATCCCTTTCAGAGAGGGGCCCTCTCAATGCCAGCTCTACCCCCAAGCTGCTCATGGGTCTCTGGTTTGTTTTGGGTGGGGAGGTGGGTGGAGAATACCTGGGACATAACCCCCAAGGTCCGCTTGGTAGGATGGTCTGCTTGCCACTTTGCTTGCAGTGGAAGCTCTTGGTCTCCTCCCCTCCTTAGCTTGTAAATTCTCTGAAGGCAGATTGCATCTCTGTTTATGATTATGTCCCCAGGGTTGGGGATAGAGGAGGCGCTCAACAAGTATCTACTGAAATGCAAAGGGCTTGGCCAGGACCACGTGAATCGATAACATATCTGACCAGGCCTCCTCCCTCTTTATCCCTGAAGAACTTTGGGAGGGAAGACGAACATCCCTCCCCAGGCCCAGAGCCCTCCTGCTCTCAGATACTGATCTGGGTGGTGCTAGCACCCACTACAAGTCAGGACTCAGTACACCCTCCAGGCCCAGAGCCTGTCACAGTGCCAAGCACCTAGGAGATACAATCGAATCACGCTGGAAAAAAAAAAAACACATCTCCATCCTAGTTCAGGAGACTTCAAAACAGACCTGACCAAAAGTCACTGCTTTTAGGACTTCCCTGGTGGTCCAGTGGTTAAGACTCTGTGCTTCCAGTGCCAGGGGGTGTGGGCTTAATCTCTGGTCAGTGAACTAAGATCTCACATGCTGTGTGGTAAGGCCAAAAAAAAGTCACCATTTTTGTTGAAAAGTCCACTCCTCTTACCCTGCCACACCCATCCGT